CCCCCCCCCCCCCCCCCCTCCCCGTGGAATGATTTAGCGCTGGGGTTGAAGTGCCATTACGGGCATGGGGCTGAACATTAGGAGGGCGTGACGGTCCCCTTACAAATATCAAGTTCTACCATGTTCTCGTCCTCATGTCGAAACATCCTGCATGCTTAGCATCACACATCCAGCCCTTCACAACAACTGTCACAGTTGATAAAAAGCCCTGGTTATGGACGAGCACCTTTGATCCTTTCACTCTCAATGCAATGATGATTCTAATGCTGGTCATTCACTTTCATTTCACTTTTACATTCATTCATGATGACCATTTCCATAACACAATACGCCTGTGCCCGTAGCCAGCGAGCAGCGTTTGCCCCCCGGCGGCGCCGCGGCGCACGAGCACCCACCTTGGGTCGGGTGTGGATGACGAAGCTGAGGATGCCGCCATACATCTGCATGGTAGATGGCTCGCCCCAGACGGCGGCCGGCTGCGCCCGCAGCAGCACCGCCATGCACTCCAGCAGCTGCCGAACAGGCCACACATCGTCTCCCGTCGTCGTCCATCTCGACCAAGGTGGAGAGCACACAACTAACTGAGCGTCCACACATCGTCTCCAGTCCACCTCGACCGAGGTGGAGAGCACACAACCGAGTGTCCACACATCGTTCCATTGTAGAGCCCACGTTGTAATCGCGGTTAATCACACGCTGCGCAGAGCGCAGTCGCAAAACATCGTGGCACGGGAGGGGGCGACGGGCCCATCCCGACAACGCCTCCATTATCCGTCACACAGAGGGGGACGGGCGGACGGGCGGACGGGCGGACGGGCGGTCGGGCGCCCGTTACCGATTTGATGAGTAGCACGGTGCCCGTGGCCATGACGGCCTCCAGTCGCGACATCAGCAGCTTCGAGCAGAGCGAGAACTTGGCGACGAGCACGGGTCGCGGCGTGTGTCGGATGCCAAGCGATAGCAGCTGGCACACCGCCTGCTGCTGGATGCCCTCCTCGTCGGTCGACTCCAGCACCGACATCTATCGGCGGCCGGCTGTCGTCAGTGATGGGCGTCGCTCAGTGTCGCAGTTAGCTGACAGGTGCCGCGGGTCGGGCCTGGGCCGCAGCCTCCACACACCGGCCACACACAGACCCTCCGGCAAGTGCCCACATCATCATGTAGTCAATGGTACGGACGAGATGGAGCAGCGCATACGCAGTCTTCAAACGCAAGCTATCACATTGGTGTCGGGTTTAACCAGCTCGTGGTCGCGAAGTGTTGACACAAGTATGTCTTACCAAAGCCCCGAAATATTCGGTGATAGTTTCTTGTCCTCCCTGATCTTTCACCACTTCCGTAACAGCTGCTAATATTGCTAGCATTTCGTTATAAATAGGTGAATCTTTTCTTATAGTTGTCAGCAGTCTGCAAAAGAAGGAGTACGTAACCAAAAATGGTAACAGACTAAGTATTCTGACTCAATTTTCCTGCTTTTCAAAATGACTTGACGCAAAAATTACCAAAGACAAAACGTTTGCTGCGGCGGATTACACCGTCCTCACAAAACAACACTATGGAAACGGCTTACTGTCGGTCACGGCGGAAGCGCTGCGGCGGATCACACCGTCATCACAAAACAACACCATGGAAACGGCTTACTGCCGGTCACGGCGGATACGCTGCGGCGGATCACACCGTCATCACAAAACAACACCATGGAAACGGCCTACTGCCAGTCACGGCGGACACGCTGCGGCGAGTGTCGTGTCATACACAGGCACGGTGGCGAGGCGCAACGCCAGCCCGGCCGCACCACTGGCCACGGGCTCACTTGCTGAACGAGGGCACCGTGCACTGGGTGAAGTCGGTGGCGAACGTCTTGAAGGAGGCCTGGCCGATGGAGCCGAGCGTGAGCGCGCCCTCGGTCAGAGCATCCTCCTCCTCCTCGATGTCCTCGATGGTGCGCAGCTCGGACACGCCCAGCACGGCGTCGTGCTTGGACAGCGCGTCCGCCGTCAGCCCACCTGCCGGGCGACACGAGTCCCCAGTCAGTGATGTCCCGCCGCCAGCCGAGCTTCCCAGGCGTCAGGTGTTAGCGCTGACGTCCGGCAGCGCCGGCGGTCCTCGGACGATTGTCATGGACATGGCTGGCCACGCTGCTCATCCCGCCCCTCCCCCTCCCGTTTTCACCAGCCACCACGTGATAAGCTGGTGTTATACTTATTGTGCGGTATTTCCGTGATAACTGATGTAGCAAATAGACAATAAGTTATCAGCACATGAGTTAGGAATGACTCATATGCTGTTATAAACACCTCTGGATTATACATCACTATGCATCACAACACACACTCTCATACCCTTTTTTGGTTCGGCGAGAGGCTGGAAGAAGCCTGCTTGTGCGGTGGCTCTGAATTTCTTCAGTGGTGGGTTTGAATCTGAGCTGTGTCCTTTTGCCCATCTGTAGGCTTTGTTCCGACCCTTTTGCCTCACATTTACCTTGCCCATGATGCAAATAGCTCACTGTGGATCAATGCAATTTGGTAATTAAGCACACATTCAATTCACCCTGAAAAGCACGTAACTTGAGACATGATGCAAATTGTGTTACACACAAGTCCCCCTCAGCCTCCACACAACACTCTTATCAGACAACAATGACCTCATTCAACTAAAACAGTGTTGTGTCCTAAAAAGAAGCTCTACTTCAGTACAAACTGCGCTTCTTCATGTTTCCATCCTAAGCCAAAAGCATTTTATGCAGCCTTTCTGTCCATCAACCATCAGCATTCAACACCTCCTCTGCCCGCAGCAGCTGGTGTTGTTGAGTCAGTGGTGCCCGTCATCTGTGGCAGCTGGTGCTGTTGAGTCAGTGGTGCCTGTCATCCATGACAGCTGGTGCTGTTGAGTCAGTGGTGCCTGTCATGGTGGTGTTGGGTGGCCATCTATTCATGGTTAGCTTTGACAGACACATGGGCTCATGAGAGTGTCAGGCAAGAAAATGCTGCTGCATAACATGACAGCTCTGGTGCGATAGTCACTGTTGGGATGGTGCATGAAAGTTTTCTTGTCACTTGGTTCTCAATGAGAATCTAGGGTGTTAAAACATCAGATGGCAGGAGAGAGACTAGAAGTCATGCTTGACAGACAGGAAGGCCACACGGGTCTCTCCTCCCCCATTATTCTGAAAGACAGAAGGCTGCGAGGGGCTCTTCTCCCCCACTATTCTGAAACAACCATGTAGGTTCGGAACACATCTCGCCATCAACACATCCTCTGAAGGGGGGGGGGGGGGGAGGGAGGTTCAGTCTGACAAAGTTGAGAGCACATGGTTTAAGCCACCCCAAAATGTGGTGGCTTTCAAGTTCTTAGTTCATTTTTCATCAGCCTTTTCAACCAAACTGGGGCTTTTGCATCATGGAGGCTTACTCAATAATTTAAACATGTCACACAGCATGAGGGCACGCTTACCAGAATTTTAGCTGCCAGCTGCAGCTTCAGAATAACACAAACCAAGAATACATGCATGCCAAAATGTTGTGGTAACATATATTTGTCTTTTCACTGTACAGCACAGGTAAGAACTTGAACACACATGAATGTTATCTCAACATGCATACATGCATAAACATAGAACATACATGAGCATCCTGCTGGCAAAAGGTAAAGATATTGCTCATTTTGCCTGCTGTTTTGAAGAAATGATGGCTCAGTTTTAACATCAGTGTTCTAAATTAGTTTGTTTGTTTTTTTAGCAGGATAATACGGCCAGGGACAGGGCTGTCATTACTTTGCTCAAACCATGAAATAGCCATTATTTGATTTTTGTTTTTCCATTATATTTACTGCCCCAAAAAGATACAAAAAGATAATGCCTCATGTCTTGTGATGTATATAAGCACCCTGATTTGTGATGTTAAATGTTGCAATATGCTACCATGTGCTTATCTTGAAAGCCATCATAAGACCAAAGTATTCTTTCTCAGCCATGTACATGGCATGCAAGACCCAGGCAAAATAAGTCAGATATCATGGACCATGCAGTTACCACAACACATGCCTCAAATTACCAATTCTTATCAGTCAGGCTGCATCAACACTTTTGATATCAAGATTGTGTTTGTGTGCATATGTGCATACATGTGTGGATGTTGGGTGCTGGGATCCTTGAAATATTGTCAATAAAAGACACAACCAATATAGCATATAGCACTTGTTCCAGTCTGTACAAAAATCTACACTGCTCCAACAAACACCTACAGGATGTTGGTGAAATGAATGTTGTGCTTATTTGTGCCACTCAGGCCAGGAAAAACTGTAGCGAGTTTTCAACTTATTTTTAAGGGAAAAATCATAATTCCTTGTAACATGGACTCTGCATTCAAATTTTTGGCAACAATGCACCAAACTCTAGGTGCTCAGATTTACTGTGCATGTGCTGACATTGTTGTCATGTCACTGCTATGCAAACATATTCAGTCTAACATGCTATTTTGAGCCCTTTGGCATTTGCTGAACTTAAGCAAAGTTATATCTTGTGATGCTTATCTCAACTTATAGGTCCTAGCCACACATACTGCATACTCAATTAGTACATATTACTCTAGTTCTGTAGGCCCATAGCATCAGCACCTATCAGCTATGACTCTACAGACCTAGAATACCCTTGAGTAACATTGTTAACAAAAATGCATGTTGACTAGGACCTGCTGCAATTATGCATTATCTTTAAATGGGTGTGTACGCCAGCGCATTGATAATAAATGGCACCACAAAACATGCATCTACACCGCCTAACAAGGCACACGATGCATGACCGGTCAGGGTGTACTTTCCTACCTAACGTTAGAAAAAATCATTGTACACCATTTGTCGTGTTTAAGGCATGACATATCATAAATAATCTCAAAACAGGTAGAATCATGCTCCTACCTTCGAATTTCAATAACTTCGATGGCGGGCTCCCGAGCGCCGCGCGCACCGCACCGCCTGGACTCCCCAGCGCCGTTTCCGCGTTGCCGTTGCGTAAATACAACATTTCTGCGTACCAAGAACTGTACAAAATGTACGGAACCAAAGTAAACCATTCGTCATGTTTAAGGCAGGACATATCATAAATAATCACAAAACAGGTAGATTAATGATCTTAGCTTCAATTTTTTATAATTACGATGGCGAGCTCCCGAGCGCCGCACACACACAGCACCCGCGACACCGGCGCCATTACTGCTCGGGGCACAACATTACTGCGAACCATAAAAATGTACCGGGACAAGGTAGCAAGAATCCATGAAATTTGATCCTCGACGCCAACGGGACCATGGGTTGCAGGGGGATTGGGTGGGGAATGTAAAGCAAAATGAGAACATGGCAGCTAAATAAAAGCTCACTATATGGCACCTATATATGGCATGGAACATGGATGCCAATGAGATGCTGGGTTGAAGGGGATATGGGGTGGGGAGGTTAGGTTAGGTTAGGTTAGGTTAGGTTAGGTTAGGTTAGGTTAGGTTAGGTTAGGTTAGGTTAGGTTAGGTTAGGTAGTTAGGTTAGGTTAGGGTAGGGTAGGTCAGCTTAGCTAAGTTTAGGTTCTGGTCTATTCTCAGGTTAGGTTAGGTTAGGTTAGGTTAGGTTAGGTTAGGTTAGGTTAGGTTAGGTTAGGTTAGGTCAGGTCAGGTCAGGTCAGGTCAGGTCAGGTCAGGTCAGGCTAGCTTAGCTCAGCTCAGCTTAGGTTCTGGTCTATTCTCAGTTAGGTTCAGTTAGGTTAGGTTAGGTTAGGTTTGGCTAGTTTAGGATATGTTCTGGACTATTCTGGCCTGCATGTTTCATAAATGTACCTAAACTCGATAAGAAATGATTTTGGTTGCTTTATTATTGTTACATTGGTCCCATACATGTTTTATGGTTCTTGATAAGCAGAAATATTGTGCTTTCGCAACAATGCAGAAATGGCACTTGGAAGTCGAGGCAGTGCAGTGCGGGGCGTGCGGCGCTCGGGAGCTCGCTATCGTATTTATTAAAATTTGAGGGTAGGAGCATGATTCTATCTATTTTGAAATTATTTATGATATGTTCCGCCTTAAACATGACGAGTGGTTTACCTTGGTCCCGTACATTTTGTAGAGTTCTTGGTAAGCAGAAATATTGTATTTACGCAACGGCAACGCAGAAACGGCGCTGGGGAGTCCAGGCGGTGCGGTGCGCGCGGCGCTAGGGGGCCCGCCATCAAAGTTATTGAAATTTGAAGGTATGAGCATGATTCTACCTGTTTTGAGATTATTTACGATATGTGCCGCCTTGAACACGACGAATGGTGTGCAATGATTTTTTCTAACGTTAGGTAGGAAAGTACACCTACACCTGCACGACCCATTACACAATATCACACGCATCACACGTCATAACATGTGTACAGCGTGGCATACACGCAAGAAGTAACTTCGTCACATACTGCAGAACAACCAGCTATAAAATGTTCTGAATAATAAAACTTACCAGTACAGCTCTTTCCAAAAAAAGCTTTTAGCCTAATCAACGACACAACCAATCCCCCAACCACCCTCCAGCACGCTCACGGCACTTCTCGGCCTCGCGCGCACGACAGGGAGACTCGCGTGGGCAAATGTCACATCTGCGCCATAGGACGAGTCAGGTAGCCGTGCTGTCTATGACGCCTTAATTCACGTCCGTCAATCTAGCAGCAGATTAATATCCAATTGCCAGTTGGATATTGCGGGGCATCTCGATTGCCCCCAAATTTGGTGTGCAGGGCCTTCTCGACACGCTGATTCCGAAAATTACTGCCTTTGGAGTGGAATTTTGCGTAATTTTCGAGTTATGCGCCGCGTAACATCCCAATGTGATATTGCGGGGCGTCTCGATTGCCCCCAAATTTGGTGTGCAGGGCCTTCTCAACACGCTGATTCCGAAAATTACTGCCTTTGGGGTGGAATTTTGCGTAATTTTCGAGTTATACGCCGCGTAACATCCCAATGTGATATTGCGGGGCGTCTCGATTGCCCCCAAATTTGGTATGCAGGGCCTTCTCGACACGCTGATTCCGAAAATCACTACCTTTGGGGTGGAATTTTGCGTAATTTTCGAGTTATGCGCTGCGTAACATCCCAATGTGATGTTGCGGGACGTCTCGATTGCCCCCAAATTTGGTGTGCAGGGCCTTCTCGTCACGCTGATTCCGAAAATCACTGCCTTCGGGGTGGAATTTTGCGTAATTTTCGAGTTATACGCCGCGTAACATCCCAATGTGGTATTGCGGGGCGTCTCGATTGCCCCCAGATTTGGTGTATAGGGGCTTCTGAACACGCTGATTCCGAAAATCACGACCTTTGGGGTGGAATTTTGCGTAATTTTCGAGTTATGCGCTGCGTAACATTCCAATGTGATACTGCGGAGCATCTCGATCGCTTCTAAATCCTGTATGCAAGGCCTTTGGAGCTAAAAGGCGTAGAACGTGACAGCTTTAGAAAGCTGCCCTAATGGCAGTGAAACCTGCGATATATTAATGCTGCTTAATTACGTGATTCTTCTTAGTTGTCCACGTGCTTGCTGCTTTCCTTTTAACAAGCTGTCAAGGATGAGGAAGTGCAGTACCGTGGGTTGGAAGGTGCAGCTGTGGGTTGCAATGAGCAACGGTATTTTATACACGGAATTTTACTTGGCAATCTGATTTTTGGACACTGTTGGACTGACAGCTGATCTGTCCTCGTGGTTTCAATTGGACTTTGGACAATCGTTCCCGGAAAAAACGTCTGGTCAGGAAACATCATCCCACCATTACACAAATGGAAAGTGATCATTCTCGCTGCCGCTGCTTTTGATGCTTGTGACCGTACTAAAGCGTATCAGTGGGTTTGTGAAAAGTCGACTACTTTGGGACTTCAGTCAAGTTTAAGTTTTATGTCCTGCAAATTGTACACATGCGAAGTGTATTTTACGCTACAAACAACACCCTAGAAAAGTTTGACTTGATTACACTTTCGGCATATGGAAATGAACATACGATACAATGCTTGACTATGAACTGTGCACATCAGACCTCACAATAAATAAGTTCTAAAACACCACTCTCCGGGCCACCATCACCTGCTTCTCTCGCACTTATGATTCCTGACATTCTTGGGGTCACACACGCCGCGCTCCTGTGGACATTTGATGCAACGCAGCGCAATGACCCTGCCACACATCTTTGCCGCTAGCCAGCCAGTCATCTCGCGTGACGGCCATCACAGGAGTACGAACACGCGACAGGCAATGCCAGTAAAAACGTCGCTTCACGGAGGCAGCGGATACGAGTGCAGCGGTGCAGTTACTTGCGACTCAGCGGCCGGTGGACGGGTTGGAGACACTTCTTCGGCTGTATACGAGTGCAGCGGTGCAGTCGCCTGCGACTCAGCGGCCGGTGGACGGGTTGGAGACACCTCTTCGGCTGGGTAAGACGAATGCAGCGGAAGCCGTTGACGCGTTGGCACCGCCGGTGGATGTTGGTAGGTCTCGGATGTCAGAGGACTCAAATGACTCGGAGCCAGCAGATCCAGGACGCGCCTTGAACACGCATATGTCACAATAAGCAGCCATATGGACGTCAGTTATATTTCCTTTAACAGGTTATATTTCAGTTATATTTTCATTAACATCAGTTATATTTCCTTTAACAGGTTATATTTCAGTTATATTTTCATTAACATCAGTTATATTTCCTTTAACAGGGACATTTCTGAGCAGCAAAGTTACTACAAATGTGACGCTGTGTCGCATAGTTCTCCAGCTCAAACACTTTTTTGACGGGCTTTATGTGAAATTGACCCTCCCAAGGCTTGTCCAGAATGGTTTCCGAACGGCACGGCGTAGGCGCGCCAAATTTTGCATATCCGTAGACAATTAAATGGCGGATCGCCTGGCATAAAAAATTTAGACGCACCTTGTAAGGTTGCTGACCTATGTCAGGTCAAAGTCAGGCCGTGGTTTCAGCAAAGGCAATTTCTAGCGAATCCTCCAATCTGATCCAACCACGGAGTGTTAGACGAAGCCATACATCTCTAAGATGCTTTCTTGGGCAACATAACAGTTGAATGAGCAAATTGCATTGACCTAAGGTCAGGTATGAAGGTCGCACCAAGGTCAAAACCAACCTGTTTTGTCACTGTAGGGCTTGCTGTATGGGATAATTTCTGGTGCTCATTTCGAGTTTATTGATAGCAGGAACCGCATTATACATCTTTCATGGACTTCTTAGAGGTCAGAATAGGTCACTGACCTAAATGACCCAGGCAAACATTTTGTTTTAGGAACATACTGCCCAGCGTAATCTTTGTCGCTTAGTCAAATCCAAAACTCGAAGCAATCTTGTATGATTTTGGTCACCTCGGCCTTCAAAAGGCCAAACAAGGCCACTGAACTTGAATGAGAATGTGAAGTTTTGCTTAGAAACAGTTATCTAGGTTTTGGGGGCACTTTGGAGACCAACCTGGAAGTTGACCTTGTTTGATCTTTTTTGACCCGAAGGCCATGACCTAGGAACCTTAAACTAAGTATCACTGACTTTAAAATTATACACACGTACCAGAAATGTGCACACCAGTGAACATTACGAATACATGGCTGCACTAGTGCATCATCCCGAATATTTCGCATGCATGGGTTTGAGTGATTAGATGCATCATAACACAGGTCATCAGACAACATCTATGACATTCTTACAAACACAGTATCATACAGACATTTCAGCATCACGGCACGACTCTGCCGGGTCAGGTTGACCCTTCTTTGCCATATGCCAGTTGAGAAAAACTGCGGGCGACTGAATTTGTGGCTAGTACCGCTGAACTGCGTGCTCAGTGTACCGCAGAACGCCAATCCAATACATGGAATAAGTTGCCTACATAATTCTTAAAAATATCATACAATGTGATGTGTGATGTACAAACTTCAAGCCTTCAAGGCAAAAGTTCAGGCTCTTTGAGTTGATATTTCAACTGCCCAATATTCACCCACGGCAACTCTAAGGCAACTATACCTTTTGAATGCGGTGCTCCGTTTGAAAAGGTTGCGGTAGCGCTCCACCCCCTTCTTATTGTAGATCCGCTCACGCTGGTTGGTGGGGCGCCGCTCCCGTTCCACCACCACCTTCCAAAATCGCCTGCCTAGCGCGCCAGCTGGATTACTAAGGCCTTGCAGCGCCTGACAACACAAAGTAAGCCCACTTAATCAAAAGGTATAAATGCGATATGCGATAACAGGCAACACATGTGAACCAGTGGAAAGTTCTTCTGATCACATACTGAAGGAGTGTAACGCATCGTAAAAGCACGAACTTTGGCACATGTAGCTTCGGATGAAACCAGTTCAGATGTAGCAGGCATGACATATTTAGCCGTCCGAGATATAATTATTAATGATACAATCAGCACGGATTGTTGAATTGACCTCACTTCAGGCTACAATGCAACCATAACACCAATTAAGCTGTTCAGCACATTTCTTCAATGACGATTCACATGACAGATTTCGAAACTCAAGTGTCTTCCGACCGTTGGCTGGGTGAGTTACATTTTATAACATGCGCCCGGGTGGCCGGCTAGATACTCTTCGCTCGAGTGGGGGGGGGGGTCAATTTAACCCCCCTCCTGAGATCTCAGGAACTGAGAAAGCTAGAGATACCAAATTTACAGGGTGTCTTGACCTGTATGTGAAATCACTTAGGTCAAACTTTGAGCTTCCTAGGTCATGGCCTTCAGGTCACATGGGGTCAAACAAGGCCAAGTTCCATGTTGGTTTCCAAAGTACCCCCAGAACCTAAGCAACTGTTTCTAAGTAAAAGGTCAAAGCCCATTTGAGGTCAGTGGCCTTGTCTGATCTGTTGAAGGTCATGGTGACCAAAATGATAAAAGACTACTCCAAGTTTTGCATTTGAATAAGCGCCAAAGATTACGCTGGCAGTATGTTCCCAAAACAAAATGTTGACTCTGGTCATTTTAGGTCAATGACCAGTCAATTTGACCCCCCCCCCTCCGAGCATGTGTTAAGCAACCACTGAACAGCCAATTTTACACATAACCATGACCAAAATTATACAGTTGTATGACTATCTAGGAAATGTGGGTATTTCACCAAATGTTTGCAAGCTACACATTCCATGGATGTTTCAAACTTGCATGTAAATGATGTTACAGTGCCATGTGTTAGAATATCCATACATGACAATAGGTCCAAAAGTGCAAGCAAGGCTACTGCTTCCCATTCTGCAATGTAGATCATAGCTTGCTGTTTTGGACAACATTACTTGGGATGACATTTAAGACACCTGGAGCCTATGACACCTGACTTTTTTCTGCCATGCAATGGCTAGCAGGAAACCAGTATTTTCTTGTACTGGCCAGTGGCACCCACAAACTAACTACACTCTGATCAGATGGACCACCCTGCATCATGTCATCTACTTTGCGCAGCCTATTGTCATCTACTTCGGAATCAGCGTGTTCAGAAGCCCCTGTACATCAAATTTGGGGGCAATCGAGACGCCCCGCAATATCGCATTGGGATGTTACGCGGCGTATAACTCGAAAATTATGCAAAATTCCAC